AATATCCCAAGATATTAACTTCTTTACAAATGGTATTATCTATTGCAACTATTTTTTTATCTTCTTTTGATTCCCAAGGTTTTTTACTTATAATATTTTGCAGCTTACTGAATTATCACTGACTAGTTGCCAAGAAACGGAGCAAATAATTAACCACCAAATATTTGCTAATATATCTCTAAATCAAATTTGTAAGGTTAGTAACTTACAAACACTTCAAGATTTTTTACAATGCTGAGGTTATAATTTGTAATATGATTTAATATTTATGATTTGTGATGTTGTTTCTATTTTTTTTAGATGGTGTAAGTCAATGTTCCTCAACTTCTCTCTAAAGAATAAAGGCACAACTTCAAAAAGCCTCTAATATCTGTCAATTAAGGGATAAATTCAAGTATAACAAGTTATTATCTTTATTTTTGCTAATTGCTTAAGAATTAAAATCTTGTGATGTGGGGAACTGATTTGATGGTAATGTCTTTAGAGATATTTATAATCAAATTATCTGTGATACATCTTTATTGAGTTCTCATCATATGGAACAATGTATGATTCGCTTATCATATATTCTTTTACTATCAATCATGTTCTACATTTAACTAAGTTGAATTTTTTGGAGTTTTTAGTAGTTCATGTGTCAATTTTTCATTCTTAATTTTTCCAAATTGCTAGAGAATATGGCAGTATCATGAAATTTATTCAAGTTTCTTTCTTAGGGTCCTCTTTGTCATCTCCATCAAGATTTCTAAGAGTTAAGGTTGCAACAGAGGAAGCTATTTTAAGAGAACTTCCAGAGGTAATTACTCTTTATTTTTTATAACTTGAGATTCTCATGCTAGCTATATTATTAATTTATTATAACATAAGTAGTGTGAATATGTATATTAATAGTTATGAAATAGTGTTATATAATAAAGTACACACTTTACATTGAGCACAAATGGGCATTTTTTTTCTTTTTTTTTGATTTATTTTCTTATTTGGGTGTAGTTACATATAAACAAAATTAGGTTGAAAGGAAATAAAAATGGATTGTTTTATTTAGCTTTCTAAGCAATGACAGCCATTCTGAGGATCACACATCACCAAACTTTCATGCTCCTTCTCAAATCATGGTTTCTAAGCAAAGATTAGCACCATGAAGATAAATCTAGATTTCAACATCATTTTATATCTTTGCATTTGGGATTAAATATCTAGAAAAATAAATCTTTGAAGAAGCTAGTTTGACAGTGATGATTGCCACTAGTTTCTTTTTAGTTGTTAACTTATACTCGTCATTTATGATATTGGATTTTTGAAACGTCTTGCGATCAATATACTTACTTTCCTTTAGACACCCAACTAGATTAAAAGAGTTAAAGCAATGATTAATATTGTAACTTGCAGGGTACCAAGTAATGCCTCTTTTGCAATATATTCTTGTCAACATGGCAGCAAACTATTTTGGGATTCTAACTAGTGATGTTTGTCCGATTTACTCCTACTCCTCTTTGGCTTCCTATTTTGTGTTTGTTCAGGATTTGATTTCTGCTTCCTTTTGATGGTTGTTCTATTTTGTTTCTTCATTTGTTTTTGGTTTTCTTTGTGCCCTATTCCTGCCTCTTGGGGCTTGTGCTCTCTAGAGGTTATCTTTGTTTCTAGGTTTGTTATCTTTGTTTCTTTGTTACTGTTCCTGTCTTTGTTACTTTGGCTTTGTTTTCTATTCAATAATAGAATGTCATTCAAATATATATATATATATATATATATATTGACTATAAATTTTTGTAAAATTTGCATGGTTTATACTCTCTAGGTTGCTATAAAATTTGCACCTTTTTGTTGCATATTAGAAAGTTATATGTATTACTATCATATACTTTTTCACTACACATTGTAAATATTGCCATATGATTTAAGATTGCAACCATATAGTATATGGCTGCATATTAATTTTACAGTGAAATTCCATTAAAAATGCAGCTAAACTTTTCCATACATTGACTAAGTTTGTACTTTTTCTAAGTGCAGCTTTAACCTAAGGCAGCATATTTTTCGCCTATGGTTGTAATTTTTTTTGTAGCTAAAGGTAAAAAATGTGGTAGTGTAAGTAGATATTGGGAGTCAAAAAAAATTTTAATGGGGTTATGCAGTAACTTTTTTTTTTTTTTTGTATCTAAGCCTATGGTTTATTAATATACTCAAGCATTACAACTAGTTGGTAACACCTACATTCACATCAAACATACAAATCTTATCCTAGTCCTGGAAGTGGCTTGTTACAGAGCTTAATAATCTTACCGCAGTTAACAGTAAACAAATTCACATCAAAATATTATGCCTCTGATTTCTTACCCTGGCCTTACTGTGAAAATGTCTCACATTCCTATCTCACTCTTTCACCCACCTCTCCTAAGATTTTTGTCTCCACATTGATTCTTTATTCCTCTGAGATGTCCACGAACTCTCCTATTAATCACTTTCTTCGTTCCATCTCCCTCTCCTCTAGCTCTATAGTGTTTCCTATCTCATCTATTTCCCCAATCCTTTTCTTAAGCCTCTCTATATTCTCCTCCACCAAACACGTTCACATTCCATTTTATTCAAGAACGTTTTCATCATACTTAATTTAAGGTTCAAATTATTGGGCAATGATCAAACGGGGAACTATATTAAGGCAAATTAGGCCAAATTAACCTGGAGAAAATTAGCCCTACATGACAATGACAAAGATGAGCCAGGGAAAGAAAAAAGAAAAAAAAATGAAAATAGCAGAAATGAATTTGAAATTTTCAAGTGTTATTATTATTGAAAAGGAAATTTGAGGAAACTGGTTTGTAGAAATAACTTTCGTAAGTTTTTAAACCTTATTTTATACATGTTTAAGTTTCGTCAAAGGGTTCCATCTGGATGCATTGATGGAATGGAATTAATATTTTCAAATTGTTAATGTAATATTATAATGTTTCTTGTGTAGACTAAAATCAAAGCAACTAAAGATTACTAATTAATTGCGATAATTCTAGCTTGAGCCCCATTAATTAGTTACGTAATTAAGTGAGTTGATCTTCTAATTAGATTTTTCTTTTCAAATGGGTGCTTTAATTATAAATGGTATATGAAATTACGATATATGATCTCAAAGGTCACTATTTATCCTAGCATCTCAACGTAAGGCAAGCCGCCCCGCCCTCTGTTTTATTTTCCTTTGGTCTTGAAGGCAAGGCTAGCTTCAAGCTCACAATTTTGACTTTGTCATCTTCAGTTGAAAATTTACGAAAGCTGATGAACTTGAGCCCAAGCCAATTTGCAATCAGATGTTTCAATTGTACATGCAGTTAATCTAAAGCAAACTTGTTAGTATTGCTAACCTTCTTTCTTCTTCTTCCCTCTCACACAGGTAACGTGGTAGAGGTTTTCTCCAAATTCATTGGTGCGGACGATTCTGATTAGGCGGAATTTATGATCATTTTGGAAGGACTTCTATTATTTTACTCCACTTCTTGGGTTTCCTCACACTTTCATTATTGAAAGTGAGTCGAAAAAACACAATCCTAGCGAATGATTCACATTGCAAATTGCATTGAGAAATGTAAGAGAAACAATAGAAGTTTTTCCCTTCGTTCACATATTTAGAGAGACAAATTCTCTAACAGACGATTTAGTCTAATCAGAGGTGTTACGTAAAGATGTGCTGTATGCTACGTTGTAAAATATCCAGGGTCCTGTTCATTGGAAACAATCTCTCTTTTAATGTCTCTATTCAAATTTCAATGCCTGTGAAGAAAAATACATTGCAACCCTTATATTGTCAACAGCGTACATCCAGGGCTTTTTTGATCGATACAGGAACATATATATGCGTTCAAATTCAATCTTCTCGTTGGCTAGCTTGTGAATTAGACAATTTCATCTTTCTAGTATGTTTGATGGTACACGTTTTCAATCCATAAGAAACCTGGACTTTTGACTTTGGGTATTGTCAATGCTTCTCGAACAGGAAATTCAAGCAAGAAATAGCTAGGGCTAATATTTTTCATATGTATTATAAAAGAAATTAATTTTAAGTTTGGAATTGGATAATTCTGTTGTGGTCATTCTTTTTGGACGAAGAGAAAATGAGAGAGAAATGGGATAAACTATGAATTGGCTACGTGGTTCACCGCTAGACTTGACTTGCCCAACAGGCTAGCCGCCAATCTTATCTTTGTTTTTGTAGGACCAAAGGCCATAAATATATAAATATATATATCAAGCTTTTTAAATTAGTTTTAGTCAAATTTAGTTACATGAAAACGTTTTTTTAACTATTTATTTATTTCAATTATATGGAGGTATCAGCAATTGTATTGAGTTTTTTATTAATTTTCTTATTTTGACCTAAAGACATAATAGATGATGGAATCATATATTCTTTATTACAAGAAAATGGAAGTGCGAAATACGAGCTATATATATATTTGTCTTGAATTTTTATATTTCGAGTGAATCTCTAATTTTTAATTGTTTAGTTATCTTAATTACATTGAGAAGCGAACAATTGTATCAATTTTTTATATTAAATATTAAAATTATCTTGTTTTGACTAAATGAAAACAGATGGTCGAATCATATATATTTTATTATAACAAAAGGTTTTACGTTTAGTGACAGCATGGAATAAGAGTTATTTATTTGTTTTGATAGTTTATATTTCAATGAATATGTGATTTTTAATTGTTTATTTATCTCAATTATAGTGAGATATAAGCAATTACGTCAATTTTTTGATATTAATAAAATTATTTTATTTTGACTAAAAGAAATAATAGATGACCGAATCAGTTTTTTTATTACAATAGAAAATGACAGTTCTAAATAATTAAGAGCTATTTATTTGTCTTGATTTTTTATGTTTCCAGTGAGGCTCTAATTTTTATTTGTTTACTTATCTTAATTACATCGAGATCTGAACAATTGTATCATTTTTTATATCAATAAAATTATCTTATTTTGACTGAGAACAAAAAAAATAATAGATGATCAAATCACGTATTCTTCCTTACATAGAAATATCTTCTTGTTGAATTACACAAATATCAAATTATTCTTTATTACAGATATGGAGCAATATGGTGTTAATTTTCGAGCAATAATTACAAATAAATGGCAAGAAATCAAGTCTTGCCTTTAAGAAATAAAAATTCAGAAGATATTTTAGACAAGCTTTTATTTTCTTTTATTGTAGGGTCGTAGAAAATATAACGGTTGGGAGCGGTGACGTTTGACAAGGGCAGCACAGGTTATCCTCCTCATTAGAACTTGTGAGATGGCAATGGCGGAATGCTTTGTTCATTTTTGAAGAAATTTTCAGGGTCTATCATGGCCTTCACACGTGCCAATCTCAGGAAGTTGTTCTTGAAATACTTAGCTCCATAAACGCTGGCAATTGCAAAATCTGTGTTGTTGCTTTCGTTGCTGCCAATGTCAAGATCTCTGTAGTTGATGAATGCCTCCCTTGGGTTGCTGGATGCGTATGGAGTCATTGCACTGTACAATCTTCTTGACAGTTCAATGTACCGCTCTGCAGCGCTGATGCCTCCGTCAGACTCCGACCACAGCACGGTATATTGTACTTTGTAAAGGTTTCCAGCTCTATGTGCAAATGCTGTCTCCGACTCTGAGATCTCTTCCATTCTTCCACCATAAGGATTCAGTTGGATAAATATGTCCTCTATGTCCATCAAGATTTCCCACAAGCTTTCCAAGCCTTCCTTGGGAATCACTTGTTTGTAGTAATCGGACTTAGTCTTGTAGAAGACTCTGTCCTCTTGCACTCTATTGAGCAAGACGTCAATGGAAGTTCCATTGGGGAAGCCGGCCCAGAAGAGGGTGGATTCGACCCAACTCATTTCGATGCAGTCACTTCGCTGCAAACCCAATTCAGGGAAGTTGGCGTTCATCAGTTGGATAAGTCTATCAGCTTGTCCAAGAAAATGGGCGATGAATGAAACTCGTATGGTTTTGTTGCCACTGCCAGTTCCAGTTATAGGCTCAGGCTGAAGTCTGAGGAAGAGATCTTTAGGCAGGTTAGGGGCAACTTGTTGCCAACGATAAGAAAGATCTGTTGCACCTTGATCCAAAGTCCTCTGCACGTTGAAAACAGTCACCTTAGCAGGAACACGAACCAGCTTGATCGTCCATGAGAGGATGATTCCAAAGCTAGTTCCTCCACCTCCTCGGATTGCCCAAAATACATCTTCTCCCATGGACTTTCTGTCAAGGATTCGACCATTGGCATCGATCAATTGTGCGTCAATGACGTTATCGATAGAAAGGCCGTATTTTCTCATCAGGGGGCCGTAGCCACCTCCACTGAAGTGTCCACCAATGCCAAGAGTAGTGCAAACTCCAGATGGGAAGCCATGGACTTTACTTTTCTCTGCTATCCGGTAATACAGTTCGCCTGTGGTCGCCCCTGCCTGAACCCATGCGGTCTCGCTTGCCATATCAATCTGGATAGACCTAAGATTAAACATATCAAGAATAACGAATGGGACGTCTGATGTATAGGATAGGCCCTCATAATCATGGCCCCCGCTTCGGATTCTTACTTGGAAGCCATGGCGCTTGGCGCAAATGACAGTGGCTTGAGCATGGGATTCATGCAGGGCTGTGATAATGGCCACTGGTTCGGAGGTTACAGAAGATAAGATTCTAAGGTTATTTGCACGTAACTCGTAAATAGATTGAAAGGAGGCATTGTTGGGAGTGTATATGGCATCAGAGATTGGGTTAGAAGGGTTGGAATGTTGAGGAAGGCATTGCAGGAAATTATCCAGAGCTGATTGTGATGTTACCAATGAAATTGATAACAAAAGGATTGAAACGATGGATAGTATAGAGCTTGAAGCTTTCATTTTTTCACAAAGACTCGAGAGATCTTTAATGGGTTTGTGCACTTCTGTTGGTTCAATATTTGTGTTTATATAGAGAAGGGAGGGTCGTTTGGATCAATTCCAGATCAAGTCTGAAAGCTTTAGTATGAAGACCAAGAATATTTCAAAACAAAGTTCATTTTCGTTTTGGAGGTGCTCAAAATTGAATATATCATTTTTAGACTTTTCGTAAATTCTTTAATTTCTTTTGACTTTGTAAATTCTTTAGTTTTTTTATTTGACTTACATATTGCCTATAATTTATGATCTAACTTTAACTTAAAATTTTTAATGGTTAAAATACCCACCAAGTCTCTATATCTATGTATTTTATTCAATTTAATTTTTGTACTAAAAATCGAAATCATTTAGTCTCTTAATTTTGAAATTACCTCAATTTAATCTTTCTTACTAACGACATCTAATTTTACCGTTAAAAGGATGACGTCAGTGCTGACGTCGGTATTAATATGACATATTTTGATACCGTGATACTCACATGATGACATGACAGTGCCATGTGACCCTAATATGATGACATGGCATTGATATGCTAGCGTGTCAGTGCCACATGGCAAATAAAAAAGTTTTTTCATGCCATGTTATATAGATTAAATTAAACAAAAATATATAGTACATGAAATAAATTAAACAAAATTGAGATGTTGAGGGACAAAATTAAAAAAATAATTAAAAAATATAAATCTTTTAGTAGATGATAGATATATTTGTTAATAAGCTAAATATTTAAGTGTAAAAGATTTATCGTGTTAAAAAATATGTAAATATTTTCTTACTTAATTATTTGATTATAAAATATGTGTTCTAATTTATCTTCTTTGTAAAAATTAAGTTTGAATTCTCCTTGTATACAAAGAAATTTGAAAAAATTTCATACCTAAAGATAAATTTTGATGAACAACTTGCATTTTGTTAGAATAAAATAATGTAAAAGGACTAAATAAATTTTTTTATTCTATTTATAATAGTATAAAAATTTAAAATTTATTTGACTTAGTTTTTAACTTGAACTAAACTCATATAAGCAATATTTTAGTTTTTAACTTGAACTAAACTCATGTAAGCAAAATAGGTTGATTTAGTTACAACTTTCACAATTTACAAATATTCATTCTTTTGGAATTATTTAACCCTTACCCAATTTACTTTTATTTAAATTTACTCAAAGGTTCTTATAAAACAATTTTATTTAAGTTCAAACAATCAAATTTTGTTAAATTTAAATTTAAATTATTAATTTAGATCTACAAAAAATTTATAAATACAATATAAAATTCTATAAATCTTTACAATTATATTAACCCTATCAACCATAAATGCAATCGTTAATCTAAGAAATTTCAACTTAAAGAATATAACCTAAAATATTAAACAAAATAAAAATATAAAAAATAAATAAAAAATTAATGGGGTGGAGTAACACATATTTTATGATTATAATAAGAGGTTTGTAAAACCCAAATTAAGTAAGTTAAAATGAAGAATTATTTTTATAATCATCGCTAATTCTATATCTTTCTTCTTTGTTTTTTTTAAAGAAAAAACTAAATCAACCTATTTTGTTAATTTGAGTTCAATTCATGTTAAAAATTAAGTCAAATAAATTTCAAAATTTTGTACTATTATAATAAAAGCAACAATTATTTAGTTTTTTATGTTATTTTATTCTAACATAATGCAAGTTATTTATTTAAATTAAACTTTAGGTATGAAATTTTTTTCAAAATTTTTTTATTGAAGGAGAATTTAAACTTAATTTTTGTAAAGAGGATAAATTAAGAGATATATATATTCAACAATAAAATAATCAAGTAAGAAAATATTTATATATATTTATAACTCCATAAATCTTTTACACTTAAATATTTAACTTATTAATAAGTATATCTATCATCTACTTAAAGATTTGTATTTTTTAATTTTTTTTCAATTTAGTCCCTCAATATCTCAATTTTGTTTAATTTAGTCCATGTATTATATTTTTTTATATAATTTGATCTCTATAACATGACATAAAAATTTTTTTCTAAAAATTTCTTTATCTGTCACGCGGCACTGACACATCAGCATATTAGGGTCACGTGGCATTGCCACGTCATCAAGTTGGTGCCACACCAACAAAATATGCCACATCAACGTTGATGTCAGTACTGACATCATTCTTTTAAAAGTAGGATTAAATTGAAGTAATTTTTAAAATCAAGAAACTAAATTACTTTGATTTTGAATATAAAAATTAAATTGAACAAAATATATGGGTACAGGACTTGTTGGATATTTTGACCAATTTTTAACTATATACTAATATGTTGATTTGCTAATTTGTTTCTTTTATTGAATGTAATTAATTATATATTAATTTGGTAATAAGAGTCATTTAAGTATAATTTGAATTTAATTTGTACCTGTATAAAGATGGAGCTAGGAATGCAGATCCCCTACTCTGATCTCCCCTACTCTGATCTCCCCTACTCTGATCTCATGCCCCCTTTCCTGTCTCGACCTCAAAATCATGTTATCTATCTAAATTATTAAAATCTCCCGAACGATAGTATTCTTCTTTAAGTAACAGGTAAACAGCGTTTCTTCTCTATAAGGCTCAAGAGAAGATGGTTTTCTATGTCTAATGATATTCCAAGTACTAGAGACTGTAAACTTCCCATTCCATTGCTAAACTAAGTCCAGATGGCTTCATCTTTCCGTCTCGGATTAAGAATAATAACATCATATAAGGAGCATTGAGTCTCTACTAAATCATCTAGCCAGAGGCCAAACCAAACCTGCAGCATTAATGACAATCGTTCCTTTTTGCTTGAAAAGGAAGAGTGCAACATTAACTACAGTTATCCCATTTTTTTTAATTGGAGAAGGGGGATTTAAACTGTATTCTTTAGATAAGAGATTATATACCAATCAATGAGTTAAATACTTGGGTGTAGTTACCTCTTTTACTCGAAAAGGAAGAGAATCATGAAATTATAGTGCATAAGCAACAAAGGCCCTTTAGGTTGGCAGTAATCAAACCAAAAATCTGTGGGTTTTTCATCATCTACTATGTTTTGCGCATAGGTTTTGATATAGTTTCTTAGTTTCAAGATTTTCTTCCACACCCATGAGCAATCACCAGACAGAGGAATAGATCACAGACTTCTGCCTGCTAGTGCATATATAGGATTTGATGCAAGCAACACATCGTGACCCTCATTGAATAAGAATAGCCCAAACGGTTTTCATCATACAGGCTTTATTCCAAAGAGAGATCTTCTTGATGCCTAAACGCTAAACCCCCTTCATTCTTTGGATGGAAACCTTAGTCCCAGCTAATTAACTTTGGTTCTTGTAGCTTTTGTATCTTTGCCTTTCCATAAGAAAGCACTAGATTTCTGCTTCAAAAGTCTTGTGACTTTCTTTAGAATGCTCAACATGGGGTGAATAACTATTTATACTCTTTCCTCGAATTTCATAAGACTGCACTTACTCAGAATTTCAGGTCTTCTGATTGTTTTCAAAATGGCTCTAGGTTTGAGGCCTATCATCAGCGCAAAACGTTTGCTGATGTGGTTAAGGGTGTTGGGAAAAATGAGAAAAGGCCCCTTGGTTAGTCATCGTTCCATTGTTGCTCCTGATATTAAAAGGTTGTCAAGTAATGATTGTTGGGAAATCATGCAATCAACAAGAACATATTGCCATGGAATTTAAAATTCTTTTCAATAGTAAAATCAAACATTAGGTTTGTTTAACTTAGAAAATCTAATTAATTAGTAGTAAAAATATTGTTATACCTTCAAATCCTAATTGTCAAAATCTGAAAGTTCAAAATCCTATGAATGGAAACCTTCAAATATCAACGCAAATTTTTTAAGTGTTCAATCTCCGATGGTAATCCACAGACACCATTAGGCCAATTGGCTAGTGTTAGCTGGGGGCCTTTTGGTTTTCCTTTCAAGAATATCAAAAGTGTCTCTTATTGTTGTATAGGGTATGGCCCAAAGATTTTTTATTTCATAAAATAATAATATCAGGGGTCCAATTCAAGCCAAACTCGCAAGTTGGTGAGCCACCTAACTCATGGATAGGTCTACTTGAAATGTTTCTTATAATAATTCGCATAATTATATAAAAGAATATAAAATACAAATAAAAGGTTTATGAATTATCATTTATACATCAATTTATTTGCATTTATAAAAAGGAACTTACATTTAACAATAAATAAATGATCAAATAGAGGCTTTCTTGAGCAATCTACCAACACCAATACACTAATCATTTGAAAAAATTTATTTGAGATATATATTTGTACGAAGGAATATGGTTTATATGAACGAGTCTTGGACCAAGTTAATTACTATTGAAATTGCACCTTTTAGAGTTGTAAGGCCTTTCACAGTTCGGACAAATAATTAAACTCTCATGCAAGTTGTAGACAAATAAAAACAAGAACGAACAGTACAATTAGGTTCGACTTTAAGTAAAATTCTTTTTTACTTTATATCATAAAAAAAAAAGGTCGTCGCTTTCCATGAGCTGCCCTGAGAATCTAATAAAGGAAAAATAGAATTAGATGTGGAGGCATAGTCACTCCTAAGGATTTCTTGTATTTTCATTAAGTGTATTTCAATTATCAATCTATTTATTTATCAATGATTGCATTTGAAATAAAAATATTTTTAAAATAATATTTTTTGTTATAAAATGTAAAAAATAACATTTTAATAATTGTTCTTAATTAATTAGAACACTAATTAACAAAATCCGAGTAATTAATAATATTTTGGATGCATTTTTTGCAGCATAGGCATTGATGTATTCCTTTGAACTCCTATTTCATGAGACATGCTGTATTACTTTTCCTTGATATTTGGATAACCTAAGGCCAAAGCAAACATCCAAAATTTGTTCTTCTCTTATCATTCTTTTCTTCATGCCTTTAAAAGAATTTTTCTTCAGTGCTATAAATTTATGAGTCTCTTCCATTGTCTCCATTCAAGGCACATTGGCTGATTAGTAAGCATC